ATAAATATTATTAATTTCTTCAGCTTTACTTTGCCCTTAGATCCATCAACCTTATATCCTCAAATAACTGTTCCCAAGTATTCAATATATACAAACTGTATATATAGTTTAGTTTCTCTCCCCTTCCTTTTTCCTTTGGTTTTTTTACGACAAAATGATGGCTACGGGGATATTAAGCCGTTGCAGTGACGGGCCTCCCGCCTGATCAATCAGTGAATTTGAAACGAAAAAGCGCGTTTGAGAAGCCTGAATTGCATTTTGGAAGTCTTAAGAGCCCCGCCTCTTCGTTCAATCCTGCCCACTTACAGGTACCTGGCAGCGAGTGCAGACGTAAAGAGTTCGAAAAATCACTTTTCCAAATTTCGGCGCTACAAAGCCCAAATTTGGGTTCAGCATGGAGAGAAGGCTCCGAAAAGGTGGAAAAACGAAGAGCTGAATTTTGCCGGGACACTGCCTTCAAACTGCCACACCTGCCACCTGCCATCAACTAGCCTTTCTTTCCCTGTAAGTGGCTCTCATACCTTGCATGTTTTTACATTTCAAAGTCTTTCTTTTTTCACAAAAAAGAGTATGGGGGTCATTCTCTGTCGAGAATGTTGTGTGGACACAGCCATACTGAAAGATACTTGCTGAAGTCATTACGTACAATGTGCTCTGCGCATCACTATCACGAAAACAATCCTCCAAGTGACTTATGTTTTCATATACAAATCACGTCAGTGGTAAGTCAGCAGCACTGCACTCTTACAACTTACGTCATGGTAATAATCAATCTATCATATAATAACCATACAATTTCCTACTTTTTTAGGAAACGCAAGTGAAATCAACCATAGGCAACAAGGACCATCCCATAGATTGACCTTACATCGTAGAAGCATTATATCCCTGCACCACGTCACCAACAGCTAATATAAAATATATACGATTAGCACATTGAGTACCAGTTTAAGCAAGTGGAGGTATTTTGCAAAAGTGGCAAACCTACAGTTAACGTACTCATACGCTCCCTTTCAAGTGATTCAGTTGTGATTACTGGCACATGGTAAATTGAGCAAAAGAAGCTGCAAAAAAGCAGATTTGGACATCGTTTAAAGACGCGCTTAGTGATATACACCTGTCTCCTCCTCTTATGACATGCAAACTGATCCCCTCCCCCCCCCCCACTGTAACCTTACCGAATGTCGGCAGTATATCAACATTGCCGCTTTGCTTTTGTAATACGCACAAGAAATAGTCCTCATAAGGATACCGATACCAACTTGAGTCGGCGGGAGGAGACAGATGTATATCACTGAGCGCGTCTTTAAACGATGTCCAAATCTGCTTTTTTGCTGAATAATTCTTAACGTTTTAAGCAAAGAAATTACCGAAAAGCTCTACAACTCCTGAAAGGGGGTAATCAGCTTTCTATAAGTCTTTTGACTACAAGAAAGGACAAAAGCTTTAAAAATTCGCATAGATGTTTGTAGAGCTTTTAGCTAATTTTACGCCATAAAGCTTGACAAATATTGGTCATTTAAGCACCCATAACTTCTTTAGGAGAGCTACTGCGGAAAAATGAAGGCAGAATTAAATCAACCCGTAAAGACACTCCAGTGATATACATCCTGTTTTCAATCGTCAACTTGATTCAGCTAACGTAGATTCGCTAACCATATTCAATGCAGAAATAAAAACTACAGTAGACAGTTTTTTGTGTTTTTTATGTGCATATAAATATACTAGTCGATGAATTGAGTGATACGAACATTGAAATTTCAAACGTGGTACCTTTTTTTTGAAAAAGTATGAATTTGAAAGTGCGCGATTTTCGACTAGGTTTTAAAACATGGATCTGATTGTAAGTTGAGCTTGTTCTTTTTTTGCATCACCTGCAAGAAGTGCGACTTTCAATTTCTCGCACTAGCATGCCTTGCTCCGTTAGTCAAGGGCTGCTGGACGAGCAATTGTCAACGTGAACCATTTCGTGTCGCTATATGTCTCTCTCTACAATAAAGCGCACGGTGTCTCTCTGTGACATTCCCCCTCCCCCCCCCCTCGTAAGATGTCAACAGGTTTGTCGTTGCGTGCCGCTGCAGGCGTACAGGGTTGATGACTCATCACTATGCCAGTGATGTCCGATCTAGACGATGTTGATGAAAACCCTAACCTCCAAAGTGCAATCTCCAAAAAGTTAAAAGCTGTAAGCGATAACATCGATTGATTCTGTCTTCACAATACGATGTCTCTATTTTTACATTGCAGCAGCACCTCTACTCGAGTCATCGGAACAGATCAGTTATCATTTCCTTCGTCATTTAGCGTCTTCTAAGAAGAAACAATTCAATCGTATGAACGAGAACCTGTGTAATCATGCTTTTTTGAGCAGAATCACACATTTTGAAAAATCTTACTTCCTTAATCTGGAAGTCATTTGAAGTAGGATTCCTAATGTGAGCAAAGAAATAGATGTTCTTTGCATTAATCGCAAAAAGAAGTAGTTAACTTTCCTTTACAAAGTAACATTTTGAAAACGACCATCTCACTTATGTGGACCTGTATTTGGAAACCTCAGAATTCGCTGAAAATTGAACCACAGGGGTTATTGCTCTTGCTAATTACAAAACGATACTCTTATGCTTTATAGATCCTTAATTATGCTTATGGTTCGTATAGTTAATGGGTCAAACATCAATGTGCTAGTATTTTGCATGATGGGCCTATTTGACATTATTAACGAATATCATGTTATGCGAACAGCGGACGCCTTGATAACGACCCCCCCCCCCCTCTTCCCTGATTCCTCAATATGACTCCCCCCTCAGGGGTGACATGCCACACTCCACGCTTGACCCTGGTGAAGGCCACCAGCCCCCGATGCTGTGGCTCAGATGCTGTGACTCAGTAAGCATCCGGGCAGGTGCAGGGAAGGTAGCCACCGTTCGATGGTGCACTCCTGGCACCGTCACACCCAGTCCCATCTTTTGCATCTTTTTTTTTCTTTCTTTTCCTTTATGCACTTCTTCAATTTGTGCTTGTCTTGACGGTTTGATCTGAAATAAATATATAAATAAGACAAGTTTCTGTTTTTATTGACTCATCAATTGGTTGACTAAAATGCTGATGAATAGAAAAATTGTGTCTAATGCGCCCTCCTCCCATGATATCGTCACTTCACATCCACATATGTAAGCAAAATATGTTACTGATGAAAGGAAACTACTCACGTTCATTTTCTTCTCTCCAGAGGGCACATATTGTGCAGAAGATTTGACGACGCAAAAGATTAGTATAAAAAGCAACGCAAAAAAGATGTCGCAGTGGCTGAGAACGGTCGACCTGACGGGCTTTCGAATTGAACGATGTATTGAGGGTCGCACTTGCTGTTTCAATTCTTCAGTAACGCGATATAGGTCATCCAATTTCTAGTCCACCGGTGCCTTTTCTAGAACAGCAAGGTGATCCTGAGAATAGTATTCTTTGCATGAAGACAAACATGCAGATGGCTGACTTCTTTCTCATCCATTACTCCGTCACTGGGATAGATACTCACGATCCTCCAATAAACTTTCAAAGTCAGCCTCCGATGAGGTCATTATGTGCTCCAATAGACGTTCGCAGAGTTTCGACGAGGTGTGTGAAACGAAACAAGCATAAAAAAATTCGAAGAACAACACAAAGTAACAATGCAAGACGACAATAATGACAAATAGTGAGTTGACGAAGTGATGAAATGAAATTGACAGAATTCGCGCTGCGTTTGCATAGGGCGCGCATTGTGATTGGAGCAGATTTTCCAGCTGAGGAACAGAATAAAATTTTCATATGGCTAGAAAACGCCGAAAAGGAAAGATCATGAATTCGTTTTTTCTCTGTATGTAAACTTTTGAAGTATACAATTTATGTAAAAAGTGTGAAAACTATATGAGCAAAGGGTCGCTGCCAGCTCAGCTGGCACCCAGCTGGCACCGTGCCAGCTAATTTAGAAAAAAGTTTAGCACAGCTTCCATTCACATAAGTTTTCATAAATTTTTGGGCCGTACTTCGGGTCCTCCAACGCGCATGCACGCACAAATTTGATGTCATATGAATGCGTTTTGTTTGTAAATAAGGCCTTTGTTTGTTTTCAACGAAGCTTGAATCCCCGCGCTGTTATGTAGCCATATGTCGCCGCCGGATGTCAGCGGCCAAATCTAAACTTAGCATACTGTCTGCATTTTCACTCCTAACTTGGTGAAAACCTACGTACGTGTTTGAAAGGACATTTTAAAACACAGACTTCTTCGTTCGTGTTGCATAGTTCTGTAATCTTTGTAATCTTATAGAGGAGAGTAAGCAGAATTAGTGCAGAAGCAATCAGAACAAACTAAAAAGGAGTGGTAGCTCAAGCTCGAAAGAGTTTGTTTAGAAATTGGAAGAAAGTTTTATGTGTGGCTTCTTTAGCCTGTGCCTGACGCATGTGCATGTGAGAATGATTAACACGTTTCGGACCGGTGCTGCACATGGCGCAGCACGCTGGTTTGAAGGATCTTTCTGGCGTTTGCAGGAGGTTTCCTTTTCTTAAATGACTCTGTAGAGTTGTGTGAGCGCAAATCGAACAACAGTTACAACGAAGTGCGGCAACGCGAACGACGCGTGCGGCGTCGCAACTTCTCTTTGCTTCGATATCAAAGAGAAAAACCGTAGTTTCAATACTGATGTGTACCGTGCACAACATAGATACTTTTGAATACTATTAGAATCTGAGTTCTTGTTTCTATCTTTCAAGAAAGCACAAAAGTCCCTCTCGAGCGACAAAATTCAAACACTTCGAATTCATTCAGAACTTTGGTTATGGAGCTTATCTGACATGCTGATTACAAATGTGGCCCACAGGCTGCGAAATAAGGTCTCTTTGTAGGCTAACGGCTGAAAGTACACTCTTTTTCGCCGCGCGCGATTTCGCGGTCCGAAACGTGTTAACTCAGTTTTTCCAAAGTCGTTGTAAGCCCTCTGTTCGCATTGGGCTTTCAGTCTTCATGTACTTCATGCCACCTCTTGTTGGAGATCCCAAGGTTTCTCAATGTGTGCTATTCATATCCGAAATAGCTAACGTGACCTTTCAAAACACGCCGGCGCTGCAGCTTTTAGAACTGCGAGCGCCAGAAAGTTGTAGAAAGGATCGCAAGGTTATCCAGAATATGGACTTCAATGACTATGGCGTGGTTATTTTGGACACTAAATCGAGGGAGGTGGGTAGGCTCAGATCCTGACTTTCTTTCATGACTCCAACATGTCTTTGAAGTAAATATTTTTTGCAGAAAGGAGAAAGCGGCTTCTTTGAAATGAGAACTTTCATCAAACCGAGTCTCTAGCCCAAAGCCCAGCACAATGCGAACGCGCAGAGAGGTGGTCGAAGAATCGCAGATACATTCAAAGCGTTTTTTACTGTGGGAGGACCTGAAGCGCTTGCGCCGCCACTGAAGCCACTGACCGTGTTGGGAAGACTATCGCTTGGGATATGTATAGAGGCGATGTAGGGCTCAAATGCGGATCTCTCTTGAACTGGCCAAATTGCGACGCTCCTCAGGTATCAACATAATTGATGTTTTGCCATTTTCAACTCAATCTTTTAGGGGCAGGGCACTCTGGACAGATTTGTAACTGAAGCGCCACCTGACTCCGTCAAGCTTTCTATACCAAGCAAGAAAGAACTACTGGATAGCCAAATATTCATCGTCATTTCGAAATTTGATCACAAAAAAGAAAAGAGGAGGCAGACCACACGGGAGCCAGCTATGTGCAATTCGATGCCAAAAGGAACGAGTTCTTAGCTCCCGAGAAACTCCATATAACATGAGAGAGGCAGGAATGGCTTTCCGCAAGGGCAAAGGATATTGTGGTCTTGACTACATCGATGTCCGAAAGTATAGCACCGCTAATTTGTTTGAAACATCTCTTCTCTCATTAGGAATCTTCCGAAATTCAAGGCTTATCTGCGGATTACATGGCTTAAAAAAGGTGAATCCATTTCTTTTTGCCCTGACGGTCACTTTGCTGTGACGAAACAGTCGCCAGGTACCAATAATATTTGCGATAATAACAATGAACGTATGCTGACCGTATCTTTCAGAGACATTTGCCGACATGAAGAGCCAGTGTTGCAAAATCAAGTGTCTTATGAAGATATGCCAATGGATATGAACGAAATGTATAAACCACATTTTGAAACGGTTATGGATAGCGATGTCGACTTAGTGTCAACTTCAGATCAGGCAGCTGGACATCTTTCACTTCGGCTTTTTGCAGAACTTTTACCCGCAAGCAAGATTGGTGTATGTACTCTAGATACAAAAATGAAACAAGTACAAAATGAAACGATCGTTCAAGAAGAACTGCGAAAAGCAGCTCTAAAGTAGTCAACTCTATAACTAGAAAGAAATTTTGGACTGGATCAGACCATGAACTTGAAAAGAAACTCGAGCAGCTGAAAAGCGTAGGAATTGAATTTACAGAGAAATAAAAAAGTTGGCTTCTGAATCTACCTTGGTCGCAACTAGTCCTAGACACGTCGGATTTAGCAAATTCAATTTTACGGTGCAAACTTTGCAACAGAGAAGCTAAGCTGAGAGACGACGCTTTATGGCTCCGCCACTGCTCTACTGTTACGCCCTGTCCCGATGAGAAATGTGTGAGTCTAATGGGAGCAGGATGTGTTTTGTGTATCAAAAGAGCTCAAATTATTATCGTGGCTGGAGTGCCGGTATCTTTCGCGCTGTCGCACGTCACTCGAATTCCAAAGAGCACGAAGATGGATTGAAGTTTTATCACATGGCGCTCGGAGCTCAGGAGCAGCAAAATCAGGATCTTGCGGTAAAAGCCACCGTAACAGCGACCGTGGGAGCCTACATCATGGATAAGCAGGATCTTCTCTTGACTTCGCAGTTTCCTCTGATAATGTTTGCATTGAGAACGGGAGCGGTTGTTGACAGTGCTCACTACGAAGCCACAGCTGCGAGACGAATGATAAGAACTTTTACAGTGGACATTGAATACGAATTGTTCGACTACCTGATAGCAAATGATCTTTCATATTCCATACTTATGGATGGATCATCATCCTCAAGAGGGACGAAGTGGATGGCGTATATGATCCGCACCATAACTTCCTTATTTGAACCATACACTTTCCATCTTCTCATCGCCGAAATATCACGCGATACATATCAGATCATAACAGACGTGCTCTGGGTTACATTCCCCGGTCTCAGGATCTCACCACATGAGCATGCTCTGAAACGACTAATTGCTATTACCACTGATGGGGCGGTTACAATGATCAATCGTGGTGAAAGTGTTTTTGGTAGGCTCCAAAGACATCCAATCGAAAAGCTCATCTCCAGTAAGAACAGAACTGCTTTTATCTGTGTGTGCTGCCCATAAACTGAATATTGCAATGAAAAATGCAAACCACATTGCTTATACGCTTGCCAGAGCTCTTAAATGGAGATGCACACGATTTTCGGGTTTCCACATTCGTCCTCCGCAAGACGACGTTACAAAGACATAGCACGTTTGATGTCTTTCCTGATCTACAAATGGGCCAATTTTTTGCAATTAGATGGTCGGACAGCTTCAGTATAGGGCTGACTGATATTACCCGCATGTGGCCGGTATTAATCGAAAGCTTGGATAAGGTGGACAGTAACTATAGCATTTCTGAAAATCTACGCATCAGAGCAAAATGCGCTTCCTGGATGATGCGGGATGGAAGCGTATTCCTTATGGTGAAACATGTCTTTAATGCTCTTCGCTAAGTCTCCTCTCTATCGCTGCTATTCCAAAATACAGACAGTACGGCCATAGAAGCAATGGAAGCTACTCGTGCTTCTACACAATCGCTTATAGACGGGTCACTGAAAAATGACCTACATCAGAACTGATGGCATACAAATCTGTAATAAATGTTTATAATGGAAAAAATCTTGGACGAGTAGATGAGCATTTCTGATGAACTATTATGAAAAATTAGAAAATAGTCAAGCAAAAAAATGGCGTTTTGTCTATCTACCAGAAAGATTCAACGTCTTCAAAAAGAAGTTGAGGTCGATTCTACAAACGAAGAGATAGAGGAGAATCTAGACTGCTATCGTATAAAATCTTCACTACGTTAGAAGGATCATCAAGCGAGAGTGGCCTTGAAGGCATAACTGATCTGGGGATTACGTAATGAGTACCATACGTCTATACGACGAGATTTGGTCAATGAGTCAATAAGACTATTGAAATATTGTGTCGTTTTGGCGTTCAAGGAAGCTTTGGACTCTTTTTGTACCACTTTGCACGAGAAGGTGGAAAGTTTAGAACAGTGGCGTAAAGATTTAAGAAATGATAAGACTGCTAAGAGGATCTACAAAAAGCTGCTAGAATTCCAAGAAAGCTTAACATGCCTGAGGAAGTTGAAATGGTAAGATTTTCACGAACAAATATACTGTTCATAATGTATTGATGCAGGTGCTCAAGTGCATTCTCCTCATTCCATCCAGAAATGGAGATAGAACGAACATTTTGCACAGCAAATCGTCTTACAGCGGGCGAAAGGAGCAGTCTTTCCACAAAAACGATTAATACTATGCAGTAAGATTTCTTAAATCGTCTTTTCTTTTCAATGTCACCAAATTTTACAGCATTCAAAGAAACGGTCCGAATCTTTAGACACTGAAAACATCTCAACTAGCCTATCAGTGGGTACACCCTCTGCCTGGCCTGAGTTTGAAGTCGGATGTACACTCCACCAGAGGATCTTCTACGAACACGATGGCTTCTATTAAGAAAGCCTTCTATTCAAGTCGGTATTTTGCGTGAACCACATATACATGACATTTGAATTGTGCACTCAACTCCATCAAAATAAGCCATTATTTTTTTAGAGAATTTGGGTGATGCTAGTTCGCTACACAATTTGATTGGACCGGCAATTGTAGTTGACACACTTTTGAACATGTTTGGAGATCAGGCGATCAGAGCAACTCTTCATAGCAAAAGCGACATAGAAGACTTTCGGAAAGACTTGATAGCTGTGGGAAAAGCCAAGGCGGCAATTTTCAGCATTGGGATAGTTTATGATAATAAATCATTTTACAGTCCCCTTTGCACAAAAAATACAAAGTATTAGCTATTATCTACTAAATCTGTGTCTTTTTCAGCCTTCACACTCATCGATAAGCTTTTTCGGATTTGTTTGCCAGCTTTGTTTTCAAGTGCTTGCACGTTTGACGCCATGACACCAGCACCAGCCAATAAGGACAGCGGATTGATTTAAAAGTTCCGGGATCGGACGTCGATGCGTTCAGATTCTGATTTTGAACCAACTCATAGGCTATATTTCCATTACGAAAGTGACTCATTCGAAGTACGCTCCCAATTACAACTGTACACTCTCACGCACAATAACAACCCTACAGGAAGCTTTTGTTTGTGAGGCGGTGACGAAACGAGGATCGGAGAGTCCTACTCCCAACATGGTGGCGTATGCCCAACGGACAGAAAGATCGCTGTTTCCACCGTGGCCGAAAGTGACTCCGTTCAATTTCAGCGTCCATGGGTATATGAATGGGAGCTTGAAGAAACTTCAAGTAACGCATTAGTTGATGTTTCTATCATTATTTTCAGAAAGTAGTTTGGTAGAATTTTCAAAGTAATAAAGCTTCTATCATCAATGTCAACACAGCCCGTATGCCAAAATTGTCGAACAAGACTGCATCTTAGTTCAGCATGATGGAGCATGATGTCTGCAAAGGCACTCAATGCATAGGTTTTACTTACAAAGGAAGCGTGTATAGTCGAAGTTGCCTTTTCAGATACTCATACTGCTTTGGAGAGTATTGCACGATGATTCCAAATCTGCCTTCCAAATCTGCCTTCCAAATCTGCCAAGGCCTCTGGACGCCGAGTTATGACCGTTCTTCGGAACAAAAATGAATGCAGAATTTAGGTAAAATTATTGTTACAATCTTTCCAGCGCTCGATGAAGCAATGTTGAGTATTAGCATATTAGACAAATCGTATCCATTGCATAAACTGCTCTGATACTTGAACTGGACCATTTGAGCAAACTTGTGCGATTTTGCATGCTGATCACCCCCACGGGGGGTGATCAGCATGCTCGATTACCCCCCTGTGCCAACTCTCAGCCCCGTAGCTCAAATTTTGCAAAAAATTGATAAGATCGATATCGATCGATGACGAAAAGTAGCCTATGACACCCGCCGGGGCCCGAAGTGTATGTGTGCCAAGTTTGGTCCCGATCGGTTCAGAAATGGAGTTTTCTATTTGGAACATACGGCGGAGCCGGGTAAGCCAGCTAGTATTTAATATAGACGTGTTTAGTAAATGGTGTATTTGGAAGTAAAAAAAGCGGGACTGTACGGATTTTATTTAGTGAATTTTGTCATAACATACTGCGAAGAAAGTAGGGCGATCCAGGAAATAACTGCCGAGAACCAGAATTGTGAATAATAAAAAAAAGAAAAATCATGCGAAATTTCCACTGTTATAAATCTGGTGTTTGCAGTTGTCAGCAGTTGCGACTTAAGAGGTTTTGAATAGTAAATAGTGCTCTATCAGATAGTGGAAATCGAGTGATTTGAGAATTAGTCGTCGAAAACCAGAATCCTAAAAATTACGCCATTTTAACTTGTTTGGTGACAGTTGACAGTTAAACTCATATAAATCTTGAATGTGAAGGTTTTAGATGTAGCGACTTCATAGGTTTTGTAGAGTATAGTATGCTTTATTAGATTATATCTTAGCCGTACCGATCTTTTGAAACAGC